GCAATGCAGTCATTGCAGGGATGAGAGAGCTCTTACAGTGACAGAAGGGAGCCCTGTGCCATAACATATTAGCTACAGAAAACTAAATATTGCACCATTTCTCTCCATGCCAACATGAATACCCCAAACTCCAAAACTGACCAAGTTACAAAGTAAAATGCCATACTGAATTACAGTGATCAGGCCTATCTCCCTCATTCTTCTATGTCTCTCAGTATTGCCTTCTCCACTGTCTATTTCAGTGGATTAAAACATCCACTCATGAACAACACTCTTTTCTCCTCATACTGGCCCCTAAAGGTAGCAGAGATTCATCTGACAACGAAACACATCTCCTCTAAAAAGTGGCTAAACAAATTTCACAGACAGGATCTTCCAAGGGTTAAAGATCCATTATTTTCACATCCTCTCCCTCAAGAGCCTTCTGGACAGGGGCTCACACAAACAGATCGAGAAATGCAGCAAAATCTGACGCTCTGAGCCCGAACAGCCCTTCCTGCCTTACAGTGCCCTCCCACAGGTCCCCTCTGTGCAGGCTGCAGTCACTCGCTGTTTGTTAAGCGTGTCACTAACTGCTGGCACTTGGGAAGGGTTGATGACAGCCCCAGCAGCGGGAGAGTGAGAAAGCTGTTGTTTGCAACAGGAAATGTTTAGGAGGACTGAATGGTTGTGGCCACCAAAAAGAGCACTGAATTTTAAAGCGAAATGCAAATCAGGTTGGTTAGTTGTTTTGAAAGAACAAAAACTGCCCTTGCAAAAGGGAGAGAAGAAAGAAAGAAGGTCATTCTTTCACTGGTGATTTGGCTTATGATGTTGGATACCTTTAAAAAGAAACTTGGCTCCCCCAAGTACCCTTCTGTTCTAAAGGGAAGCCCAAAATAGTCTCCCACTTTCTTCCTCATTTCCTCCACAGAACTGCAGCCAGCAGACCCTTTTCCAGCCACTGTGAGGGTTTAACAACAGGGAGACTTGGACAGGCTCCTGCCACCTCCACACACAGGCTGAGCCACAGGGAGCACTTCCTAGCAAGGCTGGAAGCAGCCTGAAGGAAGTCAGTGGCGGCTACCAGGAACTGGTATCTTTGGCACTGCTGTCAATGCTGACCCTACCAAAAGCTGTTAAGAGACCCAGACCAAAGAGAACTATTATAGGAATTCTCCTGCGCAGACGATTTTGTACTTATACCCCATCCCAATGACTACAAAAATATAAGGCCCATACTGGGGAATGAGCCCATATGGTACGAGCTTGTGAAAAGCTAATGCCCAAAACTTGCTTTTCTCCAAGTGGTAGGGAGGACTAACCGCTCTGCAATGCCGACACCTGGTGGCGAACTAACTGCTCAAGGATCGCACAGCAGCGCCACATACAGAGATTTAAAGGACATCCCGCTGTGGATTCGTTTCCCTTTCAGACTACCTTGCTCTCTGCTACGTGTTCCACTGCCTACAGGCCACATTTATTACTCATCTTTTTATGCTGTGGCTCTTTCACCCTTGTGTAGACTGTCTCATTTTGTTAACTGCTTATTTAGATGAAGCAATCCAGCACAGAAGACAGTTTGTCCCACAGGCAAAGTGCTGGCTTTTCTCCTTCTGCTCTTGCCCCTTTCTAATTTTCTAACGCAGTTCTACCAACACATTCCCCTGGCTTCCCACACAGCCATGAAATAACCGTGCTGCGAGTTTTGACGCTGCAACACCCCCGAAGAGCACTGAAGAGGTGCATATCTCCATAGGACTCAAGGGCTCAAGGTGGAGAATCATCCCTAAACTTCTCCCACTTGTAGCCAGTTTGCATTTTGGCCCTTGTGGGAACCCTCTAAGTTAATTGCTGCATGGCCTGATGCTTGAAGGTTACCTGCTCTTTGTTCAAAGCTCTTCGAGCAGGTCTAGCTCAAGTCTATTTATCAGGGACTCCTGATAGCTGTCACTTAGGAGGAAGGTCAGAGAAGGCTGTGATAGCTTCAAATCTGATGAAATTTACTGGAAGCGCTGGGCAATGTCCAGTTGAAGAGAAATGAAGAAACTGCTCCAACCTGG